ACCCACCAGACTTGCAGGGTGACATTTCCCACTGCTGAAAAACTAGACTTATCCGGGTTGGGGATAATGGGCCTTAGAGCCGAGCCCACCCAGAGGGCATCGGGGCAGATCTAAAAGAACCAAAGAGGGCTTAGGAAGGTAGAGTGGCTTCTGTTAACAGACATTTCTCGTTACCATAGCTAAATGGCTCAGAGGCAAACGCAGTTCGGAAAGCAGAGTTTACATTTCCCCACCACCACTCTAGGTCCCAGAAAGCAGCTGTGCTGACTGAGGATTATAGAGGTTGTAGTTCAAAAAGTAGTTTTTCCAAGGTTTGGTTCGGCTTCCAAAAATATTTCGCTGTCTCTCGACAACTATCGTTGGCATCAGATGCTCCCACCTGTGTCTGAGCAGTCCGGCAAAGCATTTCAAAATCCTTGATTGAGGAGGAAGGGAGAGATGGGTGTGTTGATTTGCTTTTTTGGACTACAACTTCCAGAATTCCTCAGGCAGCACAGCACCCTTGCCTGGAGGATTCTGGGAGCTGAGGGGAGCGAGCAAGAGTGTAGAAGGGTACCTATTTGGAATACGGACATTGATTTTCACTGGGTCAGGTCCGTCAGAGGCGCTATGATAGGTAAAGACTCTTCCTGAACAGAGTCAGTGTCCTTCTGGTTGCATAGCGCTGTTTTGTATTTCGCATCCCTGTTGTTACTCAGCTTGTACTTTGGGAAATTCCACTTCAAGGTATAAAAGAGCAACTGCTTATTACACAGTGAGAGCCACTGTACACATATTCTCTCTCTGCGGGCATGCATGTGTTCCAAAAGTAATACAAGTTTTATCGTTCTATTGCTGAGATTCACTCTGCGTCCTGTTTTGCAACTCCTGGCAACCCGATCCAAGCTAGTCTGAAGGGCTGGCTTTACCCCCAGACGGCTAGACTTCAAAAACACGAATCTGCACATCTCTGACACAAGAGTAGACTCAATGCTGCATCCGGACAAAGTTAACTTGTGAAAAGTCTGTTGACAAGTGCTGGGGACTGCTCCAAGCATAGTGATCCCTTGAAATCACTTTCAGGAAGTTTACTTTGCAACAGCAGGCCAACCACAGAGTAAGTCATAGGCGCCGGCAAGCAGATCGAAAGCTTAGCCTGGTAGACACACGACAGCGCCCTAACCCCCCAGCTTAGCCCCTGGGGTATGTGGGTGTGGCTGGTTGTGTAGTGTAAGGGGCACAAAATACTCTCGGGCCCCAAATCAACTTTGTCAGTCACTATTCCATGCGTGTGTGTGTGTATATACCATATTTTTCCATGTTTAAGATGCTACTTTTTCCTAAAATAGTTAGACTAAAAATTGAAGTTTGTCTTATACATGGAAGCAAGCCGAACCTATGGCATGCCTGCCACAGCTGGCATGCCGAGCCCTCGCTGTGGGCACACAAGCCATGCCAATGCTGCTCCTCATGCCAGCCTGATACAGGACGTGGTGCTGCTTGCTGCTGGAGCTCAGTTCAAGCCGAAGCTGCTGCCTTTTCCCTCGCCCGAAGGCAGCCCAGAAATGGTGCTGGAGGTGGTGATCAGGTGGCAACAGCAACAGGACATGATGAAGGTGCACCCAGCTGCCCGTCAGCATGAAATCACTGCTGCGCATTGACGGCTGGTGCTGCAGGAGAGCAAGCAAGCAGGGCGGAGCGCAGGAAGCCCAAGTGAAGGTCCTAGCTATATTTGGGGAGGAGGGGCGGTGACCCCCAGCCACCCTCTGGAGGACGCACCGGGCCGGAAGGTGCCCACTGATTTAGGCACTCAGGCCCAAAAAAGTCAAAATTGGAGGGGCATCTTATACATGGAAAAATACATAAACACATGCATAGGTATGTGCATCTATGGCTACCTGCTGCCTGTCTCTAACCCAGCCCTAAAGGCCTGGCCTACCTGGTGGTAGATTATATCTGTCTCTGATCCAGAAGGAATGCCATTGGGGCTAAATGTGCATCAGTGCTTCCCCCCTCCCCCAGCCGATGGAAAGGGGTGTGTGTGTCCCCCACGAGGTATGTATTCAGAACCTGCCTGGCATCTGCACCAAGGGTCCCTTCTGTACATCCCTGGCAAACTCTGATCTACAAGGATTCTGGCTAGCACTTTCTAAACATGCCGCAGAATGAATGTTTCTGCGGTTCGCTTCAAAAGCAACCTGCTGCCACCCGTTTCAAAAAAACAGCACCTCGTAGTAGCTCGCCCAAGGGCCAGGAGGACAAAGCCGAAGGAAAAAAGGAAGCAGCAAAGAATCTGTCATTCTATGACTTCAGTCTCTGGCTGGGCTTGTTTTCTTCTCCTTTGCCAGTCTTGAAAAAGCCGCCACCCTCACCAGCCTGCTGTTGCACTGCTCACTGCCTTCCGGCAACACCTTCAGTTAAAAATGTCAGTTTCCTCTTTTCAGTCTTTGCAAAGGCTCCCGGTTGCCTAGCAAGAACCTTCCCGGGGACACAACAAGGCGCTCAAAAGTCAGCAAAACAGGAACCCCTTAGACGTGTTGCGCAGGTCTTGGCCGGGAATTTCTTTCCCCCACCCCGGAAAAAGACATTCAGAAGTCTCTTCATTTAACAGGAACTAAGGCAGCTTCTCCCATCCCAATTCCCTTTAGCTGTACCAGACTGTGAACTTCAATCCCCTCCTATCAAGATGACAGGCAAACCATGGTTTGAAACTATTAAAAAAACACACACTTCCTCCTTAAAACCCCTGGCTTTGTTTACAACCCAGAACATTGTAGGCAGATGGGTGGCCTTGGGCAAGCTGCACCGTCCCGGGGCACCCCCAGAAGGAGGGAATAGGAAGCCACTTCTGAGCATTCTCCACCTGGAAAAGGACACCATTTTTATTAACAGGAGCTCTCAAGGTAAGTGAGATATTTAAGGAGTGGTTTTCTCAGTTCCCTTAGTGAGTCGGCATGATCGAACAGCAGATCAAACCCAGGCCTCCTGTGTCCTCATCCATCACTCTGGCCACTACACCATACAGCCAACAAAACAGGCACTTAAAAGGGAACACCCCCAAGGAAATCCGGGGAGGGAGAGAAACCACATGGGAGGACGCAGCTTAGGAAAACTAGGGCTTCTTATCTGTTTGAAATTTTCACAGAAAGTTGCCCTAAAAAAACCCCCTTCGCCCAGATCCTGTGGGTTTTGGTTCGTTCTAGTCTAAAAGCACTTCTCTGGAAGTTTCCTACTCAGAAAGGGGAGGGGCGAGAAACATCGAGCACATTCACATGAGACACAGAGCACCTGACAATTTGATCTGCATATTTAGTAAGTGAATTTTGAGGCTAGCTGAGCAGCTAGCTGAGCAGAAACTTCCTCTTTCCAGCAGATGTGACTTTTGCATCCTGCTCAGACTGAGTCAGAAAGAAACAAGAGACTTCCATGAGCTGGCACGTGATGAAGGAACGCGACCACAGCCCTGCCATGCAGCCCCCAGCAGGTGGAGGAGGGTGCCAGACACGGCAGCTGGGGGAAGCACCCACGCTGTTCAGTAGCTTCCTCTTTGCAGGCAACCTGGAAGACAAAAAGTTCAAGGCTTTGCAAACTGGTCTCTCTAAATTCACTCAGCAAGGATATGACATCAGGGGAATAAAAGACAATTTCTAGACCAGAATTTCCAAGAGCGGCACCCGTCAAGTTTACAGTACAACGTGGGCTTATCAGCTCATCTGTGCTTAAATGTCTGTATTCCTATGCAGCTCCTCCAGATGTGAAGCGTGTTGTGGGCCCTTAAAGCTAACAAACGGTGTTTGGAGATAGACTCACGTGGATCATAGCACACTCCTTTGGATGCATCGGATGACGTGGCTGTGGTCCACAAAGGTTTACACCCACATTTGTTAGACTTTTAAGGCGCCACAACACTCTTCAAATTCTGGAGTTACTAAGATTTCTGCCAGAGGGACGTGGCTGCTTCCAAGCTCCTCTGTGGGCCAGCAACCTGCCTGGTTCCCTTCTGTACTGATTTTTCAACAAGCAGTCGAGATCCTCAGGATGTCCAATGCTGGATTATTTTTTTCAAAACACACAGGATGTGCACAAAGACTTGCAGAACATGCTCTGTTCTGGACGCAGAAGCCTGCTTTCCTACTTGATTCTCCAGTTCGGCAACTGTGATAAACCCGCCAGCCCCCCCCTCCCAGGTTTGCCTACAACTTCAGCACCCACCAGGAGGGGATCTTCTGTGTCTCTAGGAAACCACGCTCTCCGAGCGCCACCCTGTTTTGCCCGGACAAGCCGTGTTTGAGATTTCTATAACCTTTCTCCGAAGTTGAAGCAGAGGAAGGCCTCAAACCATCACAAGACTGCTCTTGCAAGCGCTACAGGAATGATTTGGGTCATGGGTCAGACCCAGCCACGCTGGAAGGCTTGCGAGGAAGGACACCAAAAGAGTAAAGATCCCCACAACCGTGTCAGCAGCTGTTCACACAACACATCTTGGCTGCTATTGGCTAGGAGGGTTTAAACAGTCCTTAGTCCCCAATCTGAAAAGGAGAAAGGTCTTAACATTCAGCAGGAAAGAAAGCAAAAGGAGGCTGGTTCTCAAAAGTGCCAACATTTTGAGAATGAAGAGGCCCTTGCAACCCAACATGTTTTGAAGCAATAACATTTTTCTTTGAATAGTCATTCCAGTAACCGACGTAAGATCTTGTTTCTTTGAATAGTCATTCCAGTAACCGAGGCAAGATCTTGCTCACCACTGACATTCCCGCAAACAAGTTTATGAAACCAGAAAGAAAGAAAAACTCAACCGGTCTTACTTGACACGTGGTTTGCGTGATGATGCAACGCAATACAATTTAATGGCAGCTACGGATCATTCAATGATATGAAAATGTCTCTGACCGGCCTGTCCCAGCATCCAGCTGCATTTCCTTTACAACTACCAACACCCCAGCCAGAATGAACATGTCAGCTTAGGAGAGGCGATTTTACTTTTATGAGCTACAACATGGTAATGAAGGTCTTGCATTGGCTACTCAAGAGGATGCTGTTAAAACTCAGAAACACCAAAACCGTAACCCTCTCTACTCGTCTTCAACAAAACCTTGCCTCCCGCTCTTCTGCCATCTCTTGCAATGTCTCAGTTATTCCAACCCAATTTTTTATTTTTTATTTTTTTGCTTTGTTCAAACTCCTTAGGGCTTAGGTGCAATCATAAAGCTGGGCCATCTACCCATGTTCTCCAGGGATTTCCTTGAGATCCGTTGGCTTGCCATTCCCATCACTTCCAGCCAAAGGGCTAAGTGCCTGGATACCAAGATGAAAATGCTCCCTGCTCTCCTGCCTCCTAGAGAAAGGATTCTGAAACACAGATAGGGCCACGGAACCCTTAGCATCTATTAGTTCCAAAAATAAGAGACGTTGTGACATTACCATGAGACAGACAGACAAGACACACACTGAATTGCAAGCATCATCCACACCAAGACCAGAATTCTCACCTTTCCCCAAGCTGGAATTCACGACCCATCAGACCTGGCGGGGAAGAACACCAGGCTGATTCAGCATCCGTCAAGCAGGAACTTTTCCCGGAGCATTTCCCACAAGGGCTGCAACCACTGTTTCCTCATTCAGCGCTGTTTGAGCCTGTTCACCTCACATCTTGAACTGAAAGATAGAAAGAAGAAAGGTCCGTGAACTCCAAAATTCCTGCAGGGTGGGTCTACAGACCAAAGTCTTTGCAGCCAAGCCATGTGGCAATTATTCCAACAAGTTTCCTTTAGAAAAAAGAAAACAGGCCTTCCATTTGTTCAGCTGCTCCTGCATCCATTAAAACCTGAGATTCAGGAAAACACACACGTGCGTGCTTGCTTGGGCAAGTAATGTCCTTTTATCAACTTTCCTGCTCCTTTTATTTACGCACACTTAATATCAGGCACCACGGAATGCCCATAGGCTTTCAAGGAGTGTTGTGTAAATAAACTATGGCAGGGAAGGAAATTCACTGGCAAATGAGATCTTCATTTGGCGATTAAAATGAAAAAGCCAGAGCGACCCTCGCTTCTGCATCCAATAGATAATACATGAAAAGGCTGTTGGGGGGAACAACTCACAGGCCCCTTTCCACCCCTTTCACTCTTGCTTTTACAGAAACTTTACATCAGAAAAAAAAAACACCTTTCCTCATCTAGATAAGGGTGCACCTACTTCTGCTAATTCACAGCTGTGGGGAGACAGCAACACAATAAAAGGGAGTCCTAGTTTTGGAAAGATATTTCGGCACCACTAGGAAGCCCTTTCTTCTCCTCAAGGGCAGGTTCTTTTCCTTGGGAACCTTCAAGCAGAAATACCCAAGGGGAGCATCCCCTGCCAGGTATCCCTACAGAGGCGGCAGACGGGGCTCACCATGGACTTATGCTGGGACATTTCGTTACGTCAGAGGAATAGAACTTGCTGACCATCAGATATTCTGAGCACTGCAACGGTCCCAGATTCTAAGAGTTGACACTCAAAACATCTGGAGGGGCACCAGAGGCCTCCTAACCCCGGAGGATACCGAGAGGCCTGCATGTGTGTATGTAAGATCACAGGCACCTTTAATTCAGATCATTACTCTTACCTATTTGACTGACCTGCAAAAGACACCATGAGCCCAAAGGGAAAACTGTGGACAGACTTACCTTAGGCCACTTGGAGGCTCAAAGCAGGGATCAGCCAGATGTGTGCCTTTTGCCCAGAGCTGCGGAGCACAAGGGACGGCCCCTGAACCCTCTGAGCTGCGCTGACGGTCCCTCTGGCACCGTGCACAACCTTGGGCTGATGCTGTGGAGAGGCAAGAAAAAGCACCGCTGCTGAAATATATCTGGGAGCTCAGGGTGCAGAAATACTTTCCCAGTTCTCTGGGAAAGTGTCGGCTGAGGGG